GGGTTTCGGTTGCGTGGGACGTGGTGCCCGAGCTGAGGTGCATTACCCCTGCAAACGTGATCCAAGAGTAGCGGCCTTTCCTCGGTGGAAAGCGCGGAGCGAGGTGCGCGAGTTGAGCTGCATCTCTCTGCGAGTTTTACTGAGAAAAGTAGTAGATCTTAGATTTGGTTGGTAAAATCTTAGAGATGCATTTTAATTTACCTTCCGAACCATTTCCCCTCGAGTTTCGATCAGAATGCTTGTAAAATTTTCAGAATTAATTATATGTGGAAATTATTTATAAATCTCAAATTAAATAAATACTTGTAAGTTGGAAAACACGTTTTCAACCTTTAAAGCAAGTAGTGAAGTAGTGGTGCGCGAGCTGAGCAGCATCAGACGGAGCTCTGCTAAATTCCCTTTCCAGTTAAAATTTTCTCTCTCTCAATTTCGATTTCACTCACTCATTATTATTTTCTCTATGGCGCCCGAATCCAGGCATCCCACTGAAGTTATCCGGCACCTCAAGTAACGTTGGCATATCTTATACCAGAGGACGTATGTGCCTCTGATGTCCTGGACCTGCTTCGCAGAGAAGGGGGATTTGCCTCGTTACACCCCCTTTGTAGTAGTGTGTTTCTGTGTGTACGGTCTGTGTGTATACCGTAGGAGTTGTACCTGTGTGGTTTGTAAGATCGAGTTTTAGTAGTTGTAGCCTGTGTGGCACTTATTATTATATCGTTGTATATTACACCCCAATACATCGAGCGGCCACCCCTAGATTGTGTGTCACATTCTTTCCCTAGGATACCACTCTCGAGGTAGGTGACCATTTATTTAGAGTGATAGGGCTCTTACACCCCCCCTAGACCATCTCCCCTTTCTCTAGGACTACCCTATCTGGTGGATACTTACGCCCCCATCTGTGATCATCCCCCTATGTGTTCAGCTGCTTGGCCTGAGAGCTGAGCACGTTATAGCATCTCTCTCTCTATAGAGTATTCTGTTAGCATGTGAGTAGCTCAATACATATATCTATGTACCTATAGATACGGAGTTGTACCTTATCGTCCCTTATCTCCCATATAGAGCATGATCCGCACCCAGTAACATGACAGGCCGGTCTTGGAACTCCCTTTAGCGCCACGGGCCTAAGTGGTACTAACCCTTAAAGTCTTAAGTTCTATCTCAAGTCTAAGTCTATCTCTTAAGTTCTGAGGTCTATATAGTAACGGAAGTCGTGCCGTCACTGACCCGCGATCCGGGCCTTAGTGTTTTAAGTTGAAGTTGTTAAGTTGTGGTGTTAAGTTGAAGCTGTTTGCAGTGTTGTCGAGGTGCTAAGTTATTCTTGAAGGATTAAAGTGTACCTAAACCTAGAACCAGTGTTGGATTATTGCCATCTCGCTTCTCCACGCTTAAAAGCCAAGGTTTGTGGGTATGACAGGGATCTGGGGTTGAGCGTTCGGAGGTCATTCGGAGAATAGTTTTAGAGGCATTGCTAAAGTGTTTTATTTTTATCCAAATTTAAAAAAAAAAGGAAAAAAAAAATGAGTTGGCCACTGTTCGGAGATGACAATACAATCGAAATCCGAAATGATTTTGATGTGCATGATTTAGCACATTATGCTCTCTTCGGGCTACTATTCGTTTTAATAGTTATATATTATTCATTGAAAAAATGCAGAAAGCTCGAACGGGAAGTGCGGGCTGCGCGATGCGTCTAGGAGGCGAGTAAACTTGTGTTTTCAACTGCGGAGTTTTAGCATAGCATTAAATGCGTGAAACATGCGGTAATTTTTGAGGGCACGGTATTAGTGCGACATTTTCTTGAGGGCACGGTATTTGTGCAAAATTTTTTTTTAAGGGCACGGCATTTGTGCGGGCACGGTAATTGTGCAAACATCTTTTTGAGGGCACGGTATTTGTGCGATATTTTACATAGGTCATACATTTTTAGGGATCATAGTGTGGTGGTTTCCAGGATCTTTCAGCGGAAGATTCTGGAAACCCCATCAAACACCCTCCAACCAACTTTGGTGGAAAGCTCCAGTGCGTCGTGGGTGGTGTGCTCGGGCGACGCACGGCAAGCCAGAGGCAGGCTGAAAGTGGGCCGCGCGGGCATCACACCCGTGCAAATGCTGAGGATTGCATGATGTGACTTGTCTTTGCATCGAATTTAGCGGAAAGAATGTCCGATCGTGGCCGTCTTCAGCCCGAAAAAGTAACGATTGTTCGGCCAAAATTGCTGATCGATCAATCGTCGGGTTTTCCGGCTTAGAAAGCGGACACCGCCCCGGGCAACTTTCCGCAGTTAGTTGCGTTTTGGATCTGGGTGGAGCGAGGTTCCTGGTCTAGCTGAAGTCGTGTGTTTGGCTCGTTCTCACCCCCCCCCCCCCCCTCCCCCCCGCAACCCCTACATTAGTGCGGTCGCTCATTTTCACTCCGAAAAATTTTCAGCGGACAATTTGTTTTATTTTTTTTAATTGTGTATCAACGGCACAATGGAAAATTCACGAGATTTTATGTCGTTTGCATCGATTGCAAAGCTAGAAGGAAAGAAGAACTTTGCAGAATGGAAATTTGAAGTCCAGATCTACATGGAAGCTCATATCATTTTTCACATCGTGGAGGGCAATGTACCAAAACCTGCGGACACGGACAAAGAAAATTTGACAACATGGATCAAGAAGGACGCCATGGGTCGACGAGTCATTTTTTCAACTTTGCACAAAAGTATCAAACCACTTCTGAGGACAGGGACAATGACAGCCAACGATATGTGGCCTCGTCTGGAGGAGCTCTATGGGGACGGACAGGAAGGCAGTCTTCTTCATCTGACCCGTGAGGCAGTGTTTATCCATTATTTTTATAAGGAAATTTTCACCGAGGCAATAAAAATTCGAATCGTTTTGTATAATGACAATCAAGGCGCCCAAAAAATAGCGCAAAATAATGCTAGCCACGGTAGGACAAAACACATAGACACGAGGCATCATTTTGTAAGACAAATGGTAAATGAGAAGAAAATTGAGCTTCTATACATGCCCACCGAATACATGCCCGCAGACATGCTCACTAAGCCATTTGGAAAACGTAAACATGAGTTTTGCACTAAAAAGTTTCTTACTATTTGGTAACCGGTAGGTTTTTATTTTTTTTACCCATGTTTAACTCATACTGGTACTATGTATTTGCACCAAAATATATTGATAATCTAATAAACAAAAATTTAAGGTGACGGTATGAAACGAAAAATTACGTACGCCGAAGCGGTTACCCTATATCGTTGAGACTCGGTGCCGTTCCCGTTTTCCCCCCCCCGTAAATTTGGCCTCGCCCGGAGTGTGTTGATTGGTGTAGATTACTTCGTGTGTTTCGTGTGTTTTGGGTTGTAGTTTCCAAAATTTCGAAGTGGAGAGACTTTAAGTTTTTGGCGGAGGGTCGAGGTATTGTTGTTCTTAACGTGGAACCTAACTCATGTTAAGCTACTCTAGCCCAAGTCAATTGTTTTAATGATTAAGTATCGTGCCCTCTTTGTTCAGGTTTTTATCTTGCGTGTTGAGAATAAACTCGAGTGGCCTCTGTAAACTTGTGTACTGTGTTTGTGTATCTCAGTTTCCCCTCGCTCTTCTAACCGACTCCAGTTTTAGGAAGCGATTGACCACCCAGTTTGGCGGCCGGAGCAGCCTTCAGCTTAAAGTGTTTTCCTCAGGCCAGGTTTGCCAATATTACTTCATCAACTTTTAACTATCCCAGAACATCTTAGTGCATTTTAATACATTTGATATTAGCGTCGTTAAGCTCTGCCAAGCATTTATTATTGAGGATTTGAGGCCTCCTGTCCTACCTCAAGTGGTGGAAAGTTCGCCCCCCCCCCATGTTTCTCCTAACAGCAGAGAATCATAAGTGCATGCCCGAATCTTAAGGAGTCTCCTTAGGTCCCTTGAGCTGTAGCGTTTCAGGTAAATTACTCATATTATGTTATGTTCTGACGTTACATACCAAAATTCGTTAATATAATTTTGTTTTGTATTTAATATTCCCTTAGTTTTTAAGATTGAGGGAAGTTATGTTTTTTCCTATTTAGCTAGAGTAATCCAACAACTGATCCAGGGAGGCTGAATCTATTTTTTCCCTTCTAATTGCATACTTTCTTTTTGTTTTTTTCTGTTAGGTGTCTCAACAATGTCGGGTCCTAATTTGCTCCCAATTTTTATTTTTATTTTTAAAAATAGGTCACAAATTAAGGGAGGCTGTTGGAATGTAGAAGTTGTTGACAATAATTCAACATCCAGAGCTGGGCGCTCTCAATTGTTTTTTCTTTCCTAGATATGCAGTCACGAATTTAGCCGTTGGCATTCGCGAATCAAAAATGTAATTGTGCACTACGTTGTCCTCTTTCCTCCATACTGTGAATATAATAATGTGTCCTACGTATATCTGACTACCTTTCTGCCTTTACTTCCCGTATACCCTTTCTGATATAGAGTATCTATCTCGTAGCATCTATTTATCTCGCAATCACGTCTCCGACGTCATAGCTCGGTCGGACATTACGAGATATATGCTCTCAAGATTCGCGGCGCGTTATTGTACATCGAGGCAGCGAGTAAGTGGTCACCTTAGCCAAGTGCATCCTATGTATACCAGGCTATCTTACCGATTATATTGATCAGTCTCTACCATTTGACTACGAGCGTTGGATCATTTCATCCCCCCATTACAGTATAACACTGATTCCGTGGGAAAGTGGTTCAGTAAAGAAGAGAAGAATATTAACAACGAAACCGTAATCATCGCGGCAGGAGCTCAATATAGCTAAACCGTGGACTATGATGCAATACAGTATCGCATTTTAATCGTGGTATTGAGAACTATCGTATTTTTAGATATTCACATGGCGGATAAAAAGACAACTGCGTGGAAACAGTCCGTTGACCGGTGTTTCATAACACATGAGATGGCTTTAAAAAAAGTGCGGTTAAACAAGGATAAACCCAAAATAAGACACACCCTCCCCCCAACCCATACTTTCTCCTCCCAATTCTAGAATGGAATAAGCTAGAGGAAACTTTCATGTGGTTAGTTTTGTACAATAATTAAAGCAGTGATCCCAAGAAAAACAATAGTCTCGGGAGAACTTCGTACTTTCAATACACTTGGGAGCATGTTGTTAATAATTGAAGTCTATCCAACGGGTATTGTAATGCACTTTGTCATAGCAATCAAAATTATGATAAATTCAAGACAAAATGTTTGACGCACAAACTCCCATCATGTCACCAAAAACCATCCACAGAGAAAGCAAAGATCATGCTTTCATCAATAAGTTTTCCTGAAACAATTTTTCTTAAAAATCTCAGGTCATTTTCTAAAAGAAAAATTTAAAAAAATAAAAAAAATAAAGAAGTAAAATTGCACTTCAAACATTAATATAAGTAGAAACATCTGATTGTGAGTCAATGCATTTTACAGGGTCTTCATAGAGACCTAATGTATCCTGCAGCTCAAAATATTTTTTCACTTTCGGAAAAACTTAGCCTTTCATTTTTTAACAAAAAATTGGACAGGGCTCAGCAGGTAGAAAAAGGAACTAGTAAAAAGTATTGAATACCTGATTATATAAACTTAAAGCATTTCTGCTTATCATGAGGTATCCGCGTCTTGAACAAGATTGAATCAGCTCGAAACTGAGTGTTCAATAAAGGAGTGTAACCAAAAATTTTTGTGAAGAAATTGATACACTTGTGTCGTTCTTGAAAGTGTGTATCATCCTCAGAGAGAGAGACAGGACAGCCTGGACATCTAAATGTCCACCGTGATGTTACCTTGATTGGTGGCTTTCGGGTGACGTGTGAAACAAGGAAGTTCATCGCTATGTCTTCACAATTCATGTATTCATCAACTTTGTCACGGATTGCTTGTGGTAGCCAATTAGAGTAAAGGTACAGGTAATATTTGTGCACAAAAGCAGCACCTGAAAAAGGAAGACGCTCAGGTTAACAAAAATTTTTCATCATTACTTCAAGCTTTGATTCAGAGAAACGTATTGACATGAACAAAGATTTCAGATTTTTTTACAATCAAAAGGGTAAGCACTAAAAATATAAACATTCACTGTCTCTCTAGACCTCAAAGCTGGTCAACTTGTTTAATTACAACAGCAAAAGGTTGATCTCAATGGCCATGCAGTTATTTTCCACCAAAAGTTGTGCGAAAAGATGAGACCTATAAAAAAAAGAGAACTTTCAAAGACACCAAGAATGGCAACGTCTGATTCTGGTAAAGACTTCATATTTTTGAACTGGGCTCATGGCAATTTGTTAACCTCAGACTCAGACCTCACTCAGACTGTCCATCCTGGATGCATTCCTTGTCAAGCTGACCTTCTGGCAAGAGGAAAGCCAACTAATTTTTTTACTTCAGTGAGACCTGACTTTACTTTCATGGATTTGGATTAAAAGTTTAAGGGGATCATTAGAAGGAGAGCTGGAGACAAGACTCTCTCTGTTTCGAAGTCTTACTTTTGACATAAATTATCTTTTTTTCTTAGCTCTAAAAGTGCTCACAACCTTTTAAACACTGAGCACATATCATCAGGATTGTTAGAAGTTATCATCTACAAAAAAAAAAAAAAGGAGACAACAGGCAACTCAGGCACTGCTCAAGTCAAACTAACCAGTGAGAACCATTGAAAGTTCACAGCTATAGTTGGAGTTGTAGAGCCATCCAGGTTTGTAGTTGATGTCCAAAGCATGGAAACGGCCAGGGAAGCCAACCACTCGGTCTCGATGCTCTCTCCATACTCGGAAGCCGAAAATGATCTCATCATGTCGCAAATGAGCATCATCATCTACAGATAAAACAGCTTCAGTCTCAATAGCTTCATAAGGAAGGAACCTGATAGACAGCCAGAAATAAATATGCTTAACTCCAAAGCATAAATCAAAAAGGATTGTTCAACCAATTTTATAATATTTAAAATAAAAATGGGCAGATGGATAATGATTTTTAACAAAAAAAAAAAAAAAAAAAAAAAAAAAAAAAAAAAAAAAAGAGCTAGAGTAGATATAGGTAAATGTTCTTGAAATTAAGGAGTTACAGTCAATGACTTGTGATGAACCCAAGTGATCTAAAGCCAAGAGGTACACCGTGAAGTGGAGGAGTGACTCATTGATGATAACCTGTGATGAAAGTGCCTTTAGATCCAACAAAATACTCTAAAGAAAACTCTTCTCAAAAATAAACTACTCTTCAGTTTCAAATAACATCCAAAATTACATTTCGAAACATTATTTTCAATAAATTTGAAGTTGCTTGAATTACTATTGGTCAAAATACGATGTTCGATTTTCCCTCCTCTTCAAAAACTTAGCAAAAAGAGTTTACTGTATTGATAAGAGTGAAAAAAATGTCAAAAAAATTGACACAGCTAAAAAAAATGGGGAATCAGTTAAACTAAGCTGAGAAATGTTACCTAACCTGTTATCATTCATTTCTTGATGTATTTATTTGTCATGCCCAAGTATTTCTACACATAATTTATGTGGTTTCATGTGTTTATATGTGTTTACCACTAATTGGCATTTTTAGTGCCCGGCACAGGCTTTCTCGAGATTCGTCGGATAATCTAGGTATTACTGTGCTCGGTTTTGTTTTTGTTTATTAATTCAGTTTTACACCTGATATTTTACTATATTCAGTCTGAATACAAATCACAAATCACTAACAAATCGAAAGAAATTACCACTGCCTTCATTGTTTGAATATCATTTATTACTACTTATGTGTTTGTAACTTTGAGACTTAATGATTTTTCCATTTGCTCATAAACATTATTCAGAGGAAAACATGTTAAAATTGTGCGTCTTTTGCAAAATTATAGGAGGAAAAATGTAAAAATTGGTTTGGAAAGTCGTGTTAATTGAGGTTTAAAAATTGCATGGAATATTCTTTTCTTGATTATCTATCTTCAAAAACTTGAAGTGCAGGACTCTTTGATGTAAGGGGAGGGGGGGGAGAATGAGTGGAGAAGCATAAATGTTCGATTGAACTAAAGGCAGCTAGGATAACGTAAAAAAGGAGGGGGGGCAGGAGTACCTGTTGTTCAGACTGTTGTAAGGAGCCTTGATTACTTTCACAGGGACTCCAATTTCAGGCCACCGAAGATCTTCAAGAGGAGGGCGTGGTGAGTTCCATACAACTACTACTTGGTGAAGATATGGTAAACCGTGTAGTCTACTTAGTGAGTTCATCAACACCTGCAGAAATAATAGAGAATAATGAATAAAAATTCTATGATTTCTACTCTATTTACGCCCATTGTAATTTCCCTAAATGGTTTGTAACAGAATTTTAAAAGAATGAACTACCTCCAATTTTTAAAAAGTACTTTTAACAACAACAGGACCAATGGAAGTCGCAATTATAATCTCTCAGTTTCAGATCAAAAATAGCCTATTGCATGGGAAAAAGTACGTTCTACTTTAGCTAGAAATAGGGTTGAATGACATAAAATACTGTTTCTTGACAGCTAAAACAATGGCCAAGGATGGGCGTTTGAAAATTAAAACCATATTTTGCAAAGGAGTAGATTCTTATTTTGAAGCTTTTAGATTTAAATTGCTTCTTATTTTTGAACTTAAAAATTTCTAGGCAATTCAAGGAGCAAATACTTAATAATTAACTGTCATTGCTGAAAAGTCCAGACACCCAATTTAGTAGCTTTGCAGGCTATGCCTATCCATTAAGCAATAATTACTGATAACATGAACAGGTAAAAAGAATAAATAAATTACAAACGCTGATTGGAACAAACCTGCTCTCTTTCATAAGTAAGAATAACAATTGTAAACTGTTCTCTTGGTGAATTGCCACCGAGGCTTTCACAAAATTCTTTTCCAGCGCCACCAGCTCCCTGATTCACAGGCCTGAAACCCACACCTGATCCAATGAATTTAGCATCGGAAGGCAAAAGTGGATCAAATGGAATTTGTGGGTACAGTCTGAATGGGTCTCCCCACTCATTCCATAATTCATAACCTGTGAAAAGAGACAAATTTAAAGGATTAAATATAGAGACATTGACCCAAAAACATCATGTAAGTTTCACTGACATGATTGATCCAAATCACCTAAGGTTTGAACAATTGACTACCATCAGTTCAAAGAAGTTCCTAGTTGGTAGGATGATTATTTGGATCATCAATATGTAAATCGATAAGTTGATTTATTTCTAATTATTTACTATAATTATGTGATAAATTGAATGACTATTAAAGAAAATGAACTGAAACAATGGAGAATTTTAGTCAAGATGCTTGATATAACTACAAATTTATTAATGCGAACACCAAATAATTAAATTTATTAACTCCCATACTGATGCATTTTGGCAAATATAGCCATCATCAGTGGATCACACATAAGAACAAAAATTAACAAAACATTGAAAATAAGGAGAGTACAAAATACATGATGTATTCTGAGAGGTAAGCCTCAAGTTGCCGTGAGCAACATACAATTGAATGCTTACTCTGAAAACTGGTTGATAAATTAACAACTAGGACTTACCAACAGGTATCAATGGTGGATAAAAAATAATACAGAATTTTGTTGTTTGAGTTGCCAAATCATAAAGCAAATCTTTGATTGTTTCGTAAAGTTTCGCTAATTTCGAAACATTCTAATACTTTAAGATATTTTTCATTTCTACTAACATGCATGATTTCTAAATTTTCTTGCACACTACCAATATTGTGCTTGTTTTCGTTTTTCTGTTTGAACACATGCGATTGTTGATATCTTTTATGTTCAGCATATCTTTTATTAAAATTACGTTCTGTTTTACTACCGTGCAACACAAAAACGCCGTAAACGCCATTTTACATTTTTTGGAAACAATGTATCATAGCAGGAAAACTTGTGTACCTTGGGACAATGTTTTTACAGAATACTTCCGCAGATACTATCAAGAACTTAACCTGAAAATTTGAGGTGCATGGGCAAAACAGTTTTTATTTCATGAAGTGTTAAGTTCCAAAAAACAAGGAAAAATCTTGATGGATTTACGGCGTTCTTGCTTAGCACGGCTGTTTACTGATGTAATGATTGTGTAGGAATTTGATTGCTGCTGCCACACCAATCATAGATTTGCTTCATGATTTGGCAACTACTTAAAATTTCATACTATCATCTATCATTGATACCTGTTTGTAAGTCCTAGCTGTTTATTCATCGACCAGTTTTCAGAGTAGGTGTTCGGTTGTAGGTCCCTTTTTGAAGCTTACCTCTCAGAATTAATTATGTATTTTGCACTCTTCTTATTTTCAATGTTTCATTAATCTTTTGTTCTTATGGGTGATACCTTGATGATGGCTATATTTGCCGAAATGCATCGGTATGTGAGTTAATAAATTTGTAGTTATACCAAGCATCTTGGCTAAAATTCTTTGTTGTTTAAGTTGGTTTTAAGAGATGCAATAATGCAAGATTATAGAAAAAAAGAAAATCAAAACGACCAAATAAAATGTGAGTGTCATCAACATACTCTCAAAAAATAATTTGAAGAGTCAAGCACTCGTCCCTTGCACAAACTAGCGACTTCAAGGAATGACATTGATGGATTGTAGAATGTTGCTTTTCAAAAATCAATGGCTCTATTAAGACACCTTAGTCAGGCTCAGCAGTCAATCAGCTACTGATTTCAACCAAAAATTGAATAGCTTAGAGAATCTTTTGAACAGCTGAAACTGTAATTTTATAACTACAGCAATAAAATATCCTAACTTAAAAAACATAGATGAACTTACCTTGAGTAAGCATGATGGTGAAGTTCCTTTTGAATTTTGGGGAGGCATATGGAGGTTCAAGTGGCCCCAAATTCTCTTCTGGTTTAGCATCACTCACAACGGGTTCTATTTTTAATGGCTGAAAATAAAGAAACTCTAAATTATGATCACAAATTTTTCAAAAGTATAAGAGCTACTTACTTAAAAAAAAGGAAAAAAAGGAAAAAAAGGGGAAAAAAAGGAAATTTAAATATAAGAGAGAAGAAAACTAGAAAAATAAAAATGAAAAAAATATATGCCTACCCTTGACAAAAGAACAAATGAATCTGTCTCTGTTACAGACGGGCGTAAGTTCAATAAATCATAAGTCCTGGCTTTTGTTTGTCTCGGTTGGACACTTGAGCTCATGCATTTTTGGACTTGCGTCCATCTAACGAAGACAGATTTAAATATTATTTTTTAATTATTAGAACTATCTGTATTCAGTTCACTATAACTTTCTTTCATCCTCTATAAAAATCGAGACAAGATTCAAGTAAAATAAAGTGAAAGGTAAAAAAAAACTGTTCAATTAATGCTATTTCTGGATCAATTTTAACAAACAAATCCATTTCACTATGCTTCACAATACAGTTTTTCTTTTGCCACAATAACTATTGCAACTACCCTATATGAGTAAGAAAATAGTTCATTGGTAGAGGATTAGATGGTAAATGAGATAATTTGAGGTAATATATTCAAAGTGTGTAACATTTACTGAAAGATTGAAGAATGGATGAAACAAGGGAAGTTTAAAAATTCTGGTAGGTAAAACACGCATATGAATCAGCTTGTGGGGGATCAACAATTTTGTCGTGATAGCGAAGAGAGCTGTAAGTGCAAAAATGAAGTTCTGAGAAAACAGGCTTAGAAACTTCTGTTCGGAACATTTTATTGAAAGAAGCCTCCGTTTTTTGTCAAATTGCCACTATTCGTCCGGAAGACTCCTAGAGATCGTATGAATGATTAAAAATCGACTGATTTTATTTCCACTACATAAAAAAGGGTATTTTTCATTTTCATGCTAGGTTATTGTTAGGCAAGACAGCCTAACAGTAAGTGCTATCTTCTGCATGCTTTCGTGGTTGCATTTTGGACGCACAACAAACACATTTTCAGGTTAGAAATTGGCAGAAGAGGGCGGCACTTTACTGGAAAGCACTATTTTCATTGGCTCTCATACACCTGCGGCTGTCTTGAAAAAAAACTATGTCATTTTTTGTGTACTTACGGCTTTCTCATACGTTTCGTTTTCATTAAATTAGGATGAATTTTGCTGTTTTATCTGTCTCAGTAATTTCATTTAAAAGAGTTTAGACGACTTTTGAAGAAAACTCAATTTCGAAAATTTTGCACCTACGGCTCTCTTCGCTATCACGGCAGTATTTCTGACACCATCCATTTCTTTTCACAAATGATAAAGGATATTTCAAGAGATGATGTTGAGTATTTTTTAATTTGAAAAATAAAGTAAGATAGGAAGTCTGTAACATTGCAAATCAAGATACTTGTTCCTGCATTTACATCCTCGATTACTAGTTTAAGAGAGATAAAATAATACAAGCAGCTTTGTAATGTTTTGAAAATCAATCAGTGTATCCAGGAAAAACTTATTTCTTTCTTTCAAACTTATGGACCTGATCTTAGAGAACTATGGCTTGCTCGGATGCTAAAGCATACCAGACAAAGGAATTTTCACCAATTTTCTTTCACCCTTACCAAAACAGGCCCTTGAAAGAAGGAGGAACCTTAGCAAAAAAAGTTACTTACCACAAAATTATCACTGAACACACTTGGCGAAGGCTCCTCTCTGATTGGTGATGGCGGCAAATTTATTCGATCTCTTACAACAGCTAGAACGCTGTCAATGATGGCTTGAACAGAGCTAAAGTATCGCTCCCACAGCAAACGTGTTTGGCGTCGCATGAGAAGAATATCAGCATCTGATATACTTCGTAGAAGGAAATGAAGTTCAGTGATGCGGCTCACTGGCAAACCTATCACAGCTTTACGCCAATATATGACCTGCATCAAACAAGGAAGCTGGTAAAAAATTTACTTGAATCATTTAAAAGGATGATTATCGAGCCATTGAATAGCGTTTACAAATTTGAATCATAGTAAGCTGGAAATTTTATACTTAGGCGTTGTTTCTAGAACTTCAAATATTATGCTTTCATACATAGCTTGTGTGTAAAATTTTAAAGAAAGAGCATAGTGCCTAACTGTATTTGATTAAATTGCTAGGGAGTCTGAACTGTCAAACAAAATATGTTATATTTAGAATTTCCTGAATATTAAAGAGCAGATCAGATCATGAAAGAGCATTGATGCAAGGAGACAAATTGGAGGCAGTTATTTTTTCCACATCAAGTGGCTCATGTGTGTAAAAAGCTAAAATGCCATACCTCTGAATAAGGTAGTTGGACATGATCATTTCCGAGTACAACAGGAATGGCACCGTATTTCATGGCCTCGTAAAGTCTCGCCTGGAACAAAGGCGTTGACACAAACGAAGAATTCACCGGAGGAGTTATGAGAGCAAAAGTTGAGTCTTTAAGTATCACAGATCGAGTGGTTTCATTACCACAAAGGTTGTACTCTTCTTTGAATTGCGTTGCTCCAGGCTCACAGCCGAACGCAAAGAAGAACTTGTCGGATGTTTTTGATGTCAAGTATTTGGCTATCACAGAATCTGAAAAGAAAGTCAAAGAGTTTTGATAGTGTTTAATATTTGGCTCTTGGACCAAGATAAAGGGTGCATGGTATTCATTTAGAGCTCAGAGAGGTAAATACTCTTCTGAAAAGCTTAAAAATAGAGCTTTATCAAGACCAATAGTACACTCATACAAAAATGAACATTTCAAACTGCAACAATCATCAGATTCCGTATTAAATCATTTGCTATTAATTTATACTGGTGTCTAACTGTGATGGAGTCAAATGACAATTCCTTGAGAATCAATCCCATGATATGATTTGATGGAAAAGAATAATATTATTAGGTGTAATAACTGAATCCCTGTCAAGAGTATGCTGCTATGAAGTAACTCAAGGACCCAAGAAACCTTGGGGAGGGGGGGGGATCCATGAATAACAAGGTTATTTTGTCCCTTCGGATGACTGCATAGCAGTCATAGGTTGCTAGTTCCTAAGACTGATTTCCCACTGACAGATGAGCTTCATTATATTCAAATGCCCTTTTTGGTTCCAAAATAATCAAATGCCTACTATGCATATCCAAAAAAAAAAAAAAATTTAAGAAAAGAAAGATACAGGCCTGTTTATAATTAGGACTTACAATCAAAAGAGTAGGATGAGGAGACAGTAGAATAGGCCTCAAATGAAATTAGGTACTTCCTCCGGGCCGGGAGCATGTAAGGGCAATCGAACCAGACATCGCCTCCTTTAGACAGAGAAAGGGGAATTAATACATGAAAAGCTTAAAAAAAGATGAATGAGATTCAAGGCAAAACAAGCAGGAAGCTCCAACGCATTGGCGTCGGAGAGCGGCTCTGGGGGCAGTAGTTGTAGTCAAGAATGAGGGCCTAGACACATTTTGTCATTGATGTACAATCCGACAACTGTCGATTCATGTTTTGTAACTTAGCAGATTTACGTAGCCGGTGTATAAATGTGTATTGGACTTTGATATGGCGAATACATGGCATTATCACTTGTTGTATACTTTTAATTTTGAAAGCTCTTTGGAGGTCCGCTTCCTAAAAAATCTCTGGTTGATAAGTCGTTTAGCGAGGCTGCAAAAAATTTGCATTTTTATATCTGAAAGTGTAGGTATTGGTTTTTTGTATAATTGTTTTTTTGGATTGCTGGAAAAGTAACGCATACTTCTATAATTTAGGACTGAGTCAGGGAAATATAAGGTTCGTTAAATAGTAAATATTCCTAGTACCGTGTGACACTATTGTTAACGAAAAGTTTTTGCAACTTGTCAAAGAGGTTGTTGAATGATCTTCGAATAACTTTTGATGAGCTAGAGGTAATGGTTCTATCTGCAGCTCGTGGACTTCTGTACGATATTGTCCAGAATCATCTAAATTTTCAAAAAGTGTCCCCTTGTTCGATACCCAATTTGCTCATTCATGCATACAAGGAGAAGCGCATGAAAGCTTTAGCAGACATTTTGGAGATGAATCAAGAATTAGATGAAGAATTTATGACTTAAATCACGGCACCTTAATCACGGGATGACCTTAATTACGGCAACTATTTATTGTTCATGAGATGCAGATGGTTCCATTTCCCTAGCTCATCAAAAGGTATTCGAAGATCAATTTCATCAGCCACCCGTACGAACCACGTTTCTAGTGACCCGTACTTGCTTCGCACGTATGAAACATACAATCAGAGAAAACAGAATTCATCTTACAATAATCAATAATCAGTAGAACATGAATCGTTGCGATGTATAATACGACATTATAATGCGGCATTACTATTAATGCCGCATAATAGTATGCGGCAATCACACACACACACAACGAAGAACGAGGCGCTACAGACGAGTCCGTCCAGGACAAGTTAAAAAATTCCCATGAGCCGAGTGCCGTAGGTTAAGGGCCCGTTCGCCAAAACTAATCGGAACTGTATGAATGAATTGCTCCTTTTAAAAATCAAAACAATATCGAATTGCGATATATTACACAGTTAAGATAGGGCTATGTCCTGTCGTAAGCGGCGACATACAGTCGATATCATTTCAATAATCGCCCCAATGGCCACGATAGTTGTTAGACGTTTACGGTTTCCCTGGTAACCTTTGTTTGCTATCAGCTGATATCAAGTAATATGACTAGGAAGCTCCAACCCAGTGGTTAAAGCTTCCTTAACCGCGAAAACTTTAAAATTCAAATTTTCAAATTTTGAACGTAAAGTACATTTTTTCCATCACGAGATAAAAGCACAAACAAGTTTTGAATTGTTGACTGTATCACCATGATTCCAAAAATACAATACACAACATAGCATTGACTAACAATAAAACAGTATGCAATAAAATAAAGTCATGACAAGGAACATAGCCGAAAATGGCGCCGATTCCCATCAACCAACGCGCGGTCTCTACAATGTAACATGCTGCATTGATACTCCCCAGCTGGGACCGTCCGGAATAGCAGCTCTAGTGCAAGCACCAGAGCCGCTAAAATAGGTCTTTCTGAAGGTAGAAAGTTATTTTGATATCATGGAAAAAATGCAAGAACTGTAGAACAAGCAAATTTTTTTGCTCTGAATTCTTCATACAAGGTGTGTTAGTTTAGAGACCAGATTTCGAGGATAAATAGCCCACTGAGCGGTCGAATCAGGTTTTCTTGAACATTCCTTAAGGCTGATAACATACTGAAGAACGCTACACTCACAAAATTGGATTATCTTGATTAATCATTTGGTGACGGGTTGAAGATGAATAAGTCCGTTGTGTTTTGCAATTATCACCATGCAGCCATTTTCAGAGCAAATATACAACATTAAGTTTTGAGAACCGTTTTTTCTGTGACAATGTGTTGCAGAAAGTATCTAAAAATCTTTGCAGATTGAAGCCCAAGGGTTCAACATTTCTGGTTTTTGCATCACAACAATGCCTTTGCGAATGCACCGAATCTAATTCTGAAGCTTCGTCAACAAACAGGCATGAATTTCATTGGCATGCCTCATCCTTCATATGCACCCAACCTTGCACCTGCCGATTTTATTCTATTTCCAAGACGTAAATCAGTGCTAAACGGTCGTCAGTTTGAGCCAGTGGCAGTAATACAGCCAAATTCTGTGAAACTTGTGCGCAATCAAACCTGCGGATTTCAAAACATGTTTGACTAAATCAAAGCAGCGTTGAGCATCCGGGTCAGGGTCACTATTTTTGGGGAGACAGGAGCAAGGTGCTTGAGGTGTAGGTAATTAGTTACTTTGCAATTGAGTCCAATCAGTATTTTCTTTGTAAAATGCTTTTTAAAAACAGTACCTGCGCAATGTTATTTTTCTCTGAAAAGATAATTAGATATCGCAAAACACTCCAGACTTACCTGTATTCAACCCATCACTAAATGATCACTAATTGAAATAATCTGATTCCAAGAACGTAAGGTCCTTGTCACATGTTACACATTGCCTTTTTCCAAACTGTCCCCAAGACAGTTTTTTCTACAATCTCTTTCCCTCTCAGTTCCTCTGATTTTTTTCATAGTTTCAACTTGCCAGGCATTTTAGACCTTAAACTGATATTTGCACACAGTCAGAAGCACCATCTCATTTACTTTATGCTTTTGTTTATCTGCGCACCAGATGGCCAATGCAGATTGCTACATATTCACGTTCCAGGCTCTGATGGCCACAGCAAAGCATCCTCTCTTTACTTCGTGTTTAACACCCAGCCAAGACTACAGTCAAATTTTTTGTGCTCCCTCAAGTAAACTCAAAATTTTCCAAGTATCTTGAGTGGGTATCCAATTTTCTTCTGCGATTCGGTTCGTGAATCTAGTGCGCTCTACCAAAAATTCAAGGGTTATCAATGCTCTTCCATATAGTGTAAACAAGTTCTCCTGACTTGGTGTTTTCCGTACGACTCTTAGTGAGCGCAGCCCTCTTGACTGCAAAATGGTGCCATCAAATTATAATTCCCAGTTCTTAGGTGAGACTAAAAGCATTATTTTTAATTAAAAATATGGCCATAAATTATAGGATGCCACTCAGCTGTAATAATCCAGAACATGCTACTTTACACATTTATATATATATATTAGGCTTGCGTAGCTAAAACTAATAGGAATAAGTTAAAATACAAGTAGTGTGGTGGCTCCTCATTATTGAAATAAAACCCAAGATCATGGTATGTAAGTATTATATAAAAATAATGTTGGCTATGAAAAAAAGGAAAAAAGGGGAGGGGAGTACGAAAAAAAGTAAAAAAAAATAATCATCACACCTGGAGGTCCAAGAGCCGGAGGAATAACAAGGTCATGACCAGGTCTAAAAAGAGAATGGAGCCAAGAACTTTGTGCGACAATTGCTCGGCTAAAATTCAAATTTTCTATTCCAGCAAAGTCACTAGACAGATCTTGTCTTGAGAGGTTGATCAAAATGTGATTGCGGCCTGAAAATATGAAACATAAAAATCATCTTAAGTAACGGTGAAAATTTTGAAAAGACGTATATCCATCAGATAGTTTGAATGTTTCTCATAGGCATAATATTCAACAGGAAATAAATATCATTTCATTCATTCAGGTCGCTTTTACAGTGCACCCGGGCGCTCTGCGACACCTAATCACCACTCTTGTCTATCAACCCAGGGGTCATTTGGTAAATGGGATCTTGTAATTTTAATGAATGAAATTTCAATTACAATGAAAGAATTTTCAGAAAATGAAGTTTATATCCATTAAAAAATGGATGAATGAAATTAAACAATTGAAAAAGAAATCATTATCTGGGATAAATTTTGATTATGGCATGCTATGGTATCCATTGCGAAAAAAATTTTAGTACTAGATACTTGGATGGTCCAATTGAAAGAGCGAATGATGGCAGAAAGAATATGAATTCTTAAAGTTTTTGAGTACAGAAGCTTAAGCTGAAAAAGGGCGAAATAAGACAAGGGCTAGAAATTCCTTAAAAGCACATTTGAATCAGTGAGATTGAAAACACTCCAACTCAGAAAAATGAAAATAATCAAAACACGTGCAAAACTGAACAGAATGGGAAGAAGTTAGTCTAGGAAAAAGATTTTCGGTGCCGAAAGACAAGTACTTAAGGACACTTTAAAGGTCCAAGTTGGAACGGATGCACTAACTTCAATGACCTTTATGAAAATTGTCAGTCTTTAATAAAGATTGAGGATTTTCAAGTTACCGAGTTCGTGTGTTTTCGTTCTCACTGATTCATTTGAGCCCTGCATTGCTTCCCTTAGGAGAACTTGAGAGAATTTTAGAGGCAATTGAGGTCTCGATACCGAAACAGTTCAAATTACTGGCGGTCGAGTCCTGCATTGCGACCTCTAAAATAACTTGAAAGAATTATACTGAGGTTACTGGTTTGGTAGACTTCTGTTCCTCCATTTCACAAGGTCTGAGAGGTTGCTGGAATTATCTATGACTATCCGTGATTCAAAACTGAATAACCTTGTGCAAAAATATCCAATGTCCATTACATTTTTCAAATTGCGGTTGATTGTTTTGCCTCATAACACTGATCAATGAAGTCAATATCCTTAGTAAACTTATGAATAGAACTATGCTCCAGACACTTTAAAGAAAAAGATTCTCCATCTCTAATGTCTTCGACTTGCCATTGTACTGAAATAGCTCTACCAAATTCCGAAACACTGTATCAGACATCGAGCGTTTTTGCACGAACCGACTGAATTACCTAATGCAGCCTAATAACTTGATCTGAGAAACTTCATTCTTAAAAGTAAGAGTAAAATCACAGACCATCATACATGACATTATGACAAAACAACTTATTTGGTTTGGTCATGTCCAGAGAATAGCAGGAGACCGGTTGCCAAAGAAGGTCCTTGATTGGGTTCCTCCTGGGAGAAGGCGCAGAGGGCGCCCAATGAGAGGTTGGAGGGAGGGGATTGAAGCAGAAATGTTAAGGTGCTCAATGCTCTAAGGTTTTTGGTTCAACAGAGAGCAGTGGAGGTTAGGAGTCGTAGAACGCGAGGGAGTGCTATAAAGCGACCTATATGTATGTAAAATCACGAAAGTTCTTGGTTCAGAACAACTGGATGATAGTGCCAAATAAAGAAGAATGAACTTCACTTTATAAAACAGTTAGAGGAAAAACATTCTTTTGGATGGTTTGCTAAATCTGTGACAAAAAGTCTCCTTTTCATCCATCAAAATTTTCAAAGTATGAAAAAAAAAAAAAATAAAAAATTAAATGTGAGTTTACTCCGGTGTTATTTATTACAAAAAGCCCTTTTGATATGATCATGTAATCTTTGCATCACTTATTTCAAAATTGTGGGGGAAATGCACAAAGAATACCTGTTAACAAAAATATCTCCAACCAGTGAATTTCTTCATTCTGTGAATTTCTTAAATTTGTGTACTCACCATCGCCTGCCCAAAATGGCAGTTGATTTAACTGAAGACTACTGTTAGTCTGAGACCTCTCTCCAATCAGGACCAGATAGACACATGCTGTGTTTTCGTCCCCACTGAAGTGAGGGTTGAAATGGATGGCTTCTTTGATTGCAGAGATCATGAAATTGGACACATGCCATGATGAAAAATACAAATCAGGGTTGTACAAATATACAGGGAAACCAGAGGTGAATGAACATCTGGAGAGATCAAAGCAGTCTGATAAAGAATGGCACGGGTAAGATGCTGGTGGCTCAAACGGAGGAGTGAGTGATGTGGGCGGACGAACTGGTAGCAGGCGCAAAGGGAGCGCAAGATCAGGTGTGTTTTGGATTAAGGCTTCATGGTGTGCCACTTGAGCCTGCAAAAACAGAGTGAAAATCATTGTAATGTACAGCTATTCATTTTGAACACTCTCCCTTCACAACATCCTTGCACCTTTTTGTACACTTTCGTTCATTTTATTACGACATTAAAAAAGAAATGAACATAAATCTGAAAAATATATTTTAAGAATTAGCTGTAATATATCAGCAAGCATGAATGAGGAATAGAGACTGCCTTGCACTATCCACGGTCCAACTTTGAAAAGGTCAAAATACAACTGCACTCTCTTTAATGGTATCACACAAGCTAAAGTTGCCAATCCGACGGATTACTCAAGAAACTACCAGACGTTCCCCAAAAATTTCATTTTCTCTGATGTCGCAAACGCCCTCAAACTTCCTGTTTTCCAGAACACTGGAATTTCTGATCAATATTTGATGAAAATATTTAGTTTTAGACGTTCATTGAATTTCTTCTGTGAGGTCTAATACCATAACGTCGTTCCTCTGATGTAAGGGCGTATCTCTATTTTCACATGAGCCCCAGAAAGCATCGAGTTATACTGAGAACAGGGCTCACTAAAAAATCGAGATATGCCTTTACGTCAGACGAGCAACGATAAGTAAGGAGCCAGAGAACTGAAAAGGGCGATTTTTAAAATCTTTTTTAGTTCAGTGACATTTTTTGACCAGCGCTTAAGAGAGTGTGAGTATAATTTTTCCATTGATAATCCTCCCTTATTCTACAGCAAATTCAAATTCAGGCTTGATACGAAGTTGTGCTTTGGTCAAAAAATGAATTAAAACTCAAAGAAACCATGCAAAATGGACATTAGCAATTTTTAAACAAATTTTTCTAGCGATGTATTTCACTGGGGAGAGGGGGGGAGGGATTTGATGACAGGCTAAAACTAATTATTCATGCTGCCTTAAGACCTTACACTGTCAAAAAATACTCAATTGATCTATTTTCGACCCTCAACGACACCACTGTCTACCTGAAAAATATATTTCTGAAACCTAGAGCACTGAAATTAATTAGCACACATAATTACTAACTCCACTGGGAAATCTTTTTTATTGCTCACAACATAAGAATCAGTTCTCTACTTCTCCTGGTGTTAGTTGAGCTATGGTGAGAGTGAGATATGATTTGAACTAGGGAAGAGCTAAAAATACAGGCAAAGCTATTGAGAATGCTAATAAAAAGACTCACCTCTAACACCACTCAAAAAACTCCATATTAAACCATTACAAACTAAGAAGTTGCGACACATCTTAGGCTCACATTTTAACTGAGGCTTAAATGAAAGAGAGAGGGGAAAGAGCAAGGGGAAAGAGAGTGACTGGTGGGAAAGAGCCAAAGAAGCAAAAAAAAGGAGGAGAAAAATGAGAAGGAAGTAGACCTGAGGTCAGCGTTTTTCTCTGTTTCATTGTTCTGCCTTCTGGCTGAGACTTGGGAATTTGCCAACACTGAGAAAATGAGAGAGCAATATGATCCCAACAGCAGCAAGCAGTTGCCAAATTCACATTTTGACATGCTGAATAACATTTGCTTTTCCTCTGTAAAATTTCCAGTTTTATAAGCTTGGACCTAACTAGTTTACTGGGATTAGAGATAATACGAGCTTTATCGAAGTTGGAAGTAAGTTGATGATAAGAAGATTATGAGTATGCTGGTGAAAAAATTCCCTATTTTTCATTTATATTTTTGAGGCAAATTACATATGAAGATTTAAGATAAATTCCAGTGGATTTTGTTACAAAATTAGCAGCCAAATCAAGAGACAGCCCCCCCCCCTTGCAAAAAAAAAAAAAAAAAAAAAAAAAATTAACACCACCCTGAACGATAAGTTACCTTGAAGGAAAACTCTTATCTTATTAGTCTGTTAAAAATTAATGGGGAAAATGTTTGTCTTTAAAATATAATAAACAGTCTTCATTTAAAGATGTTACAAGTGACAATAGTTCAAAATGTATTGTTTAGAATATGATATCATGTTAAGTTTGATCATGAAATTAAATCTCAAGAGGTTCTGCTCTTGGTTGATGTGATTGCGAAAATGTCTATCTGTGATGTTGCCCTTGACTTTACTGACCCAATATTCCTAAATTTAATTAGGAACTGAATTGCGTTGAGTAAAGAACTTAAAAAATGAAACTGTCACAAGCAGACATGAATAATAATAATAAGAAAAAAAAATCTTGATCATTAGTATTTTTTCCCCTCCCCTTTTTTTTTTAATAACTGAGTGGGTTAAATCGAATATAATAGACTGACTGAATGTCAAGCAAAATCAAATAGAATCTACACACCTGCTGGACGGACATTTTGAGTTTATCCAACTCCGTTTGCTGACGACCTATTTCATTCTTGTATTGGTCAATTTTATGAATACATGTTAGAATTTCTGCTTGCAGCTTCTGGCGCCTGTATTCAAGATCACGAAGTTCAGTACTCACAGAACCTGGAATGAATATTCCCACATAGACTAACAGTGAAAATTATTAACTAAAATAAGGGGTACCACTTACCAGAGACAGAAAAATGAAATTTAATCCCAAAACTCTTGATGTAATGTCCAGGAGGACAAGGCCAGGAACAGCATAGTAAGCAAAGATGAACAAATTTCATGCGGGTCAGTCATAAAATAAGTTACGCTAAATTACAGATTTTTCAACTTCCTCCCCTTTTGTAACACTTTTATGACATAGTTCACCATACAAAATTGGAAAAATTAAGAGCAGTACCTCTTGTAACAGTTATGGTCAAAGAGCAGGAACAAAGCACATTTTAAATGATTCTATGATGAATGCTGCATTTTTTGGAGGCGATAATATGTCATGTCTCAAGGAATAGCTGTATTTTGAGAATTTTGATCATGGCGTGGTTGCAAATCTTTAATTAAAAAATGGCAAATTTATCGGAAAATCACCAAGCAAATGAACATCTGAACAAATCAGAGTTGTTATAGGATGAATATTAGTTTTTGGCTGAAAGTTATTGCCAGGTACAGTCCTAGAAATTTAAAAAATACAGAGATCCAAAAAATCTGTGTTGATAGATATTAATTGGGAAAGAAGAGAAGACCTTTTTACGGCACAGTTTTTTTTAAAACTTCAAAATTGTATGGTTTTGGCTGAAACATCTTCAACAAATTAAAAGTGCAGCCTCATTTCCTGTTGATAGCTTTCTGCATTTATGTATTTCATCTGAGAACAGTAAATTAGGAAGATGTTCCATGATACTACCCTTCTAACTTGGACTTACCTTTGATTCTCAACATCTCTTCAATTCTTATCTTAAGATCTGATGCTCGCAAAACACTAAAATCTTCAAAAATTTCCAATTTTGTTCGAGACCGGTAGATGCTTGGATTACCATTTCCTTCAACCTGAAAATTTAAGACAATGATTGGGTTAATTGAACTGAGGGTAAAATTACCTGTAATTACTAAATTGACTAAGTACTTCAAGAGAAAAAAAAAATTGTGTAGTTTCTTTGGAAAATACACTAAAAAAAGAACCATTGAGAAAACAGGGAACAAAACATCAATGGTGACCTTCAGTTTTCTTCTTCTTTTTTTCACCACATTTAAGTGGGCTTTATAGGCTAGGGCGACCCGGAGATTCTTTCACATGAGACCATCTAAGTCAGTCTGCTTGACCTGGAGTTGAACCCGGGATCTCCTGATCGCCAGCTAAAAAAGCAGGAGGCTACAAAATAAAGACTCGTCTAAAATGAAAGATCATCAGTATGCATGTCATTATCGAGGGGATTGAACTCTTTTCTGCAAATTTAATTCATACTTGACATTTAAACACCAGTATTTTTGCTGATATCAGTGTCAGTAGGCATAGGCATTTGCTACTTCACCAATTCGTGTTAGGAACCACGATGATGTGACAGAATTTAAAATGAAAAAGTATTAGATTTTCAGAAGGATCTGATAGAGAGTTTTTTTGACAAATGTTCTGACTTTACTGGCGCTATTCATTAGAGGATAAAACTGTGAGTAACCTAGGTATATTGATAATCTTGAATATTCTTCTTACCTTTGACAGATCATGGTAAGTGAAAAATATGACTACCAATAGAGCGATGCACACTAGAAGAACAATCCGAGACACTTTCAGATTAGCTACACGATGACATGCTTCTTTAATTAGAGATTGAGTTTGATGCTTCATTGCGAAAGCAGTTCCATAATGTTTCTACCTAGTTTCACTACAACAGAAGAAGAGACAAATTATGATTGTGAGTAATAATACAAAGATGGGCACTTTTTTTTATTATTGAATGCATTTATAGAAGCAAAGCTGATGTTTATGCCTAAAGTGAGATACCTGCATTTCTGGTTAAAACATTATGTTAAAGCTTACCACCACACTGCCTTGCTAAGGTAGAATTTTGTCAGAGTCTTCAGAAATTGCCAAATATCTTTGGAGGAATTATGAATTTTCAAGGGTATTTGTGAATACTTTTAAACCGATTTTTCAATCCATGTTGAGTACAATTTCATCTGCGGTGTCTTAAAATTTTTTAGGAAAAACATCTGTGACTTTTCTCAAAAATGAATATTTGAGGG